ACATTCCAACCAATTCCCAAAAAATATAAATTTGTATCAAATTCGAGCTAGTAACTAAACCCAACATTGAAATATTAAAAAAAGTAATATAAGCAAAAAATCTCAAATATCCTTGATCATGAGACATATAATTATCACTATAAATAAGAACCAGAATGCCAACAGTAGTAATTAAAATTGACATAATAGAAGTAAGTGAATCGATCAAGTATCCAAACTCTAAAGAAAGATCATTATTTATGGTCCAAGACCATACATATTGATAGATGGAACCCTTATTGATTTGATAAATAGACAGATCAATCGAAAAAATCATAACTATAGTTAATAAAAAAATACTAGGAAAAGCCCATATACGGCGAAGATTTTTTGTTGCCGTCGGAAAAAGTAGAAATCCCACTCCTATTAACATAGGAACTGGAAATGGAATGAAAGGTATGATCCATGAAGATTGATGTGTATATTCCATACAAAAACAAAACAAATGGATTGGATTCTTAATGAATTTTGTTTCTTATTCGTCAGTTTTGTTTCATCTCTTTTGTAAAGAAAAGGGTCGGTTAATAAAAGAAGTGAATCTAGAAATAGAATTACATTAATTGTTCTGAATCTTTGTTCCATTCGAATATTACTAAGTACAAACTGAAAATGGACCAATAACCAAATTCCTATTCCTAGTAAAAAAAAAAAAAAGAGTTTCTTTTTTTTTTCTCATATTTATTACTATTACTATAATAAATAATGAATGTAATTTTAATAAAATAATAAAAAGGAAATATGTAAAAATAAAAATGTGAATTTCTATTTTTTTTTTTACAATTATACAAAAGTATAGAGTGAGGATAAATAATGAATTACACTAAAACTACGAAGATTCGTTTATTTTGATATTCATTAAAAAATTACAATTCCTACGACATTACTCAATAATTCTTTTTTTTTTAAGCATTAGTTCATTTTTGAACTAATTGAGTATTTTCCATTACAATAAAAAGATATTCATGTCTGGAAAAAGAGTTATAATATTCAATGTTTTACTTTAGAGATAGGAAGCAAAAAGGGAGCATTAAGATACATAAGATATATGGGTAATTAAAGAAGAATTCCTTTTCATTTACAGAAAAAAATGTCTTTCACATCGAACTATAACAATGAAAAACTATACTAACTCGATGGCAGTTCCAAAAAAGCGCACTTCTATATCAAAAAAAATCATTCGAAAAAATTTTTGGAAAAAGAGGGGATATTGGACAACATTAAAAGCTTTTTCATTAGCACAATCTATTTTTACGGGGAATTCAAAAAGTTTTTTTTGTAACAAATACAAACGTCAGAATAATCTGAATTAACTTTATTCAAATAACATTTTTGAATATTAAAATACTAATATAATTGGAATATCTAAATTCGTTTTTCATATCTAAATTAGTATTCTACAAATTTAGGATATGTATAACGATATTCTAAATAAAAAAATACTTTGAATGTAGTGTTCCATTTTTGATGAAAAATTTCACCATTTTTTTATTTATTCTATATTCTTAATTTTATTTTTCTATTCCTTTCTAAAATTTTCTAAAATGTAATATATTTAGAATAAGAAAAAATGTAATATATTTAGAATAAGAATATAGAATAATAATATATATATAGATATAGAATTTCGAAAATTCTAATAGATTCTCTAATAGACTTCTTTTAATTCGTTAATGTTTAGTAAACAAATATTACACTTTAATTGATTCTTTATTTGAATCTTGACAATTGACTAAAAATTGGTTATTATGATTTCGAGTAAGCCGCTATGGT